GGTTAATGGTTGGACTTGATCTTAAAAGTCTATTCCAACCAGAATGATTCTGTGCAACAACTCATATCCAGGCTTTGAGGAGTTTGGAGCCAGGTCTGAATTTCAGGAGCCCATCAAAATTAGACCACCCCTGGGCTGGGCAGGGAGCATCCAGGATACAACCCTGCCCTGACCCATCCAATGTGCGGATGGTCCAAGCCTCTGTGCCCCACAAAGCACAGGGGCCAACTTGCTCAAGGGCTACTGTTTTAATCAAACCATACACTGAATCTGCTGCTTCTTAAGCCAAAAACTAGAAGAGCAGTGATAGCCCAAAGTGCACCAGGACCTGTCACCCACCAGCCGGGCAGCAGTGACCTGCAGCACCCACACTAACAAGGCAGCAGGAGATGCCTGGTACAGAAACTCCACTGTGTGAGTCCCCGCTTTTCAGACAGCTCTGTGCTGCCTCCCCACAACTGCACTTCAGCATCCACCTTCGATTTTCCTAAATCTGCAACAGGAGAAAAAAGCCACAACAGATCTTTTGCATTTTTTTAAAAACTAAAAATAAATAACTCCCAAACTGCAAACAAATGCTGTGTGTCTCGAACTGTCAGTTGTGTTTATTTTCCTGGGGAAATCTTTCTTGTATCTACATCCTGGCCCTAGATAAGACACAGGAGAGCTCAGCTCAGTGGGCAGAGGCTGTGCAGTGTCTGCCTGCAGCCAGCTGTGCAGCTCCAAGATGTTTCCTTAAAGCAGCAGCTTAGCTTAATCAAGTTTAATGGCCTTGCCTTGTTAATGAACACAGCCAAGCTCCACTCCCCAAGGGCAAAAAGTGGTGGGAAGGAGCAAAGCAGTGTTTGTGCACTGCAGGAGGTGGGCTGCGGAGGGGTTTTTTATCTTTGCAGAGGTTTTTTGGTTTTTTTTCCCCTTGCAGAGGGTCAGCAGCATGGACTAGTTACCCCCAGTTGGTTTTGATTGGAGAAGTATTTCATGGTGTCTGCAGCTACTCGGCAAGTTGTTGGAGCAGGCACACAACTCCACGGGGCAGAGCTTTTCCAAATTGTGCACCACTGAGCTCTTCCTCCACAGGGGTGAAAAAATAAAACTTTGCTGCTCACCTGGATGGTGCATCAAGCTGGACCTTGCCCACAGAGCTGAGGCTCTGGGGAGACTGGTGGTAGGAGGCGAGCAAAATCGCAGCAATGAGTGGATAGAAATGGCAGAGACACTTTTGGGGGGAAGGAACAAGCAGGGTCCCCTTTTGCTTCTCTCTGGCCAGCAGCCCTGCCCTTGGGTAGCATGGGCTGCAGAGGGAAGGGAGGTTCCTGGATCCCCGGTTAGAAACAGGCAGGGGTTGAGGTCAAGCTGAGCATCCTGGAACAGTCGAGGGATTGAAGGGATGCAAAAATTGCCCCTGCGTGCCCAAGAAATCCCACTAGGAGGGAGAATGGGACCTTCACTGACTATTCCTCTATTTAGTCAGGCAGCAAAGTCTAGAGCAGCGACCAGAAGTAACATTGCTGCTTTCCAAACAAGTACCCAGTGCAGTAAGACACTTGAGACCAAATGGCACCGTTCAGAGTGGAGTCAGTGCCTTTGGGAAGAGGAGGGGACAGTGGGGAGGTAGGTGAAGAACCCACCACCTCTCCCCTCACAGCAGCACTTCGCTGGGGTCCCCCATGGCAGAACCGGGCACACTTTGCCCCAGCTGTGTCACAACATATAGGTCCTGGGTTCTGGGGCCCAGCAACAGGACAGTCCCCATTGACACAGTAATGCCAAGGCAGAGACTGTCCTTCTGGGATTCAAGTTCAGCCCCCGGGCATGTTGCAAACCTCCCTGGCGATACAGTTTAAGTAATCTCAGGGCAAGGCAGAGGTTTGGAGAATCGGTTTGGACCCCAGGGTATTGCTGTTACAGGGCTGGGTATTGCAGCAAAACAAGGGGATGTGAAGAGGATGTGAAATTTTTATGGGACTCCTGCAACCAGCCTAAGCCTTGAAAACAGAACAGCCAGTTCCTTGAGGCAAACAAACTATTTTCTGAGCAGTCCCAGCTTCTAAAGCTGTAGCACAGACTCTGGTTAACCCCAAAAAGGTCTTTCCACAGAGGCCAGCTGGCTACAGGAAGTTTCTCCTGCGCTAGCATGAAGAGATGATGCCATCCTGTGGCTGTTCGGAAATACTGACTTCCCACAGCGGTTTTCCAGCAGCCACCGCTTCAACTGCCCTTCTGGTGAAAGAGGGGACGTAATTAGGAAGGACAAGGAAACTCTCCTCAGAAACTGCAAAAAAGGCTTCTCATTTGCCTCTACCTCTGAAATACAAAGCTTATACCGCTTAGGAGAAAAATCCCTACTCAGGTAAGATTCAGCTTTGGAAGTGTCTCGTGTTCTGCCTCTGCACAGGAACCACAATCACGCCTGCTGCTTTTTAGCACATACACTTATTTTTTGAGTGGCTGCATGTGAGGCTAGTCCTCTGGTCCCCCTCGGCCACCTTCCCCACGTCTACACTGTGCCCTTTAACTAAACAACAGAGTGAAATCTGTCCTCGCCGACAGACAAACAAGCGACAGGGAGAAATCACTTCACCACAGTAGAGAGCCCTCATCATTTTCCTGTGTCTTTCTCTCACACTCTTAACACAGAGCCTGCAAAACACTTCAAGTGCAATTTTCCTTTCCTCTCCTCCCTCCATTAGTCTCCTGCTTCCCCCAACCTGGGACCTGGATATTCTAACACAGCTCAGATGAGTCTTTGCCTGCCCACCCACACAAGAGGCACAGCCCTGAATGTAGTATGAGGAATTTAGTACTTACCTTTGAGAGGCAACTCTCTAGCTAGCTCTCCTCAGCCCAGTCTGAGCAACCCCAGAGCAGCTAATTTCTTTGCAGTGCTAAGTCACAATCCTCACTGAGAGCAGCCCTGCAGAGAAGGGAGGTACTGGGGGATGAAAAGATGGATGTGACCCAGCAGCGTGCACTTTGAACCTAGAAACCAGTGGTTTCCTGGGCTGCATCCAAAACAGTGTGGCCAGCAGGGTGAGGGAGGTGATTCTGCCCCCCTGCTCTGCTCTGGCGAGACCCCCCCTGCAGTGCTGGGTCCAGCTCTGGAGTCCTCAGCACGGGAGAGACACGGGCCTGTTGCAGCAGGGCCAGAGAAGGCCACAACAATGATCTGAGGGCTGGAATTCTTCTGCTATCAGGACAGGCTGAGAGAGCTGGGGTTGTTCAGCCTGGAGAAGAGAAGGCTCTGGGGAGACCTTATTCCTGCCTTTCCATACTTAAAGAGAGCCTGTAAGAAAGATGAGGGCAGACTTTTTAGCAAGGCCTGTTGTGGCATGACAAGGATGATGGTTTTAAACTAAAAGAGGGGAGATTTAGACTAGATAAAAGGAAGAAATTTTTTACAATGAGGGTGGTGAGATCACTGGCCCAGGTTGCTCAAAGAGGTGGTAGATGTCCCATGGCTGGAAACATTTCAGGTCAGGTTGGACAGGACTCTGAGCACCCTGCTCTAGTTGGAGATGTCCCTGCTCACTGCAGGGAGGTTGGACTAGATGACCTTGATATATCCCTTCCAACCCAAACCTGTGATTCCTGTTTAGAAGCAGACTCCAAAGACCTAACTTTCGCCCCTGGTCTGGGCCTGGGTATTGTTCCATCTCCATAATGAAGGCTTAGTTTAAGTGGGAGGAAAAATAATTCTGTCACCCAAAGCAAAGACGACAGAAATATTTTAAGAGCTCCTTTATTTGCACTTTTATTACTTCCCCCAAAGTCCAGGAAGGATTCTTTAAAATGTATTACTCAGCACGGGAATAGAAAAGGCCATTAAGACATAGGACAATCATGTTCCAATGTGCTCAGACAAGGCAGCCTTTGAGCAAGCATCATTTGATGAGCTCATACTTCTTCTCTGGCTGTAGCTGGTGCTCCAGAATGTTAATATCTGCTCAGGGAAAAAAAAAATAGAACTCACTTTTATGGCTGGGAGGGAAAAAAGCAGCCAAATGTGAAGCCATGCACAGGAGCCCAGGGGAGAGCACGTGGGATGGGTTTCATTCCGAGGTGCTCGACAAGCACCATCATTTCAGCATCACTGGCTACCATGCTGCTAACAAGAAAGCACAAGGAGCCAGATGGGATAGTTGCATGGAGAATGTTGTTCATGGCCAGTAAGCAGCCTCTTAGGCAAGCAGTACGGAGAGGCAGGTTTGGGACAGTGAGCAGAGCTTGGATGAGTGTAACCCTCACACTCAGCCTGTCCTCGGCCTCACCCAGGAGCATAAGCATTAACCTACCACAGGTCTCCTCAGGCCTGGGAGACAGGAAGAGACAAGCAAAACACAGACCAGGGGTTTCACCTGGGCAGATGAAACACTAGAGGCTACAGAACCCAGATGACAGACCTCACCCAGGTTAACAAGCTTTGCCAGCAGCCTGACAACATTGCCCAAAACCCGACTCTTTGACTTCAGGGAGGGTAGAGAATGTGCCCCAAATGATGAGGGGAAAGGAAAAGAGGATCACGGACCAAGACAGGGAGGAGAGATCATTTCAGGAAAGCTCTCTCTGATGTAAATTAGAAGATGTAGTTTTAATTTAATTTCTTGAAGTCTGAAGTGGATGGCACCAGAGAAAGAAGTAATAGTAGTCAGCTGCCTGGGCCTGGGTTTTCAGAAAGAACAGTGTGTGTTAAAGCTTGCTTTATGTAAAGTTCATAGAAGTTGCATATATTGGATCAATAAGTCCTTCTCATATTTAGCCAACCAGGGGAGCTACAAGTGGGGTGCTCCCCATCAGTGCCCTCCCAGACTGACAGATCACCCATCAGGAGTTCCAAAAGCTAGAAGCAGGCTGGGCTGCAGATCCAGAGGTTGCTGGGTGCATGCTGGTCAACAGTTGCCTCCAATGCATAGGAGAAAGCTGCCTGAATCTAGCTCTGTTAAGAAATACTGCATTGTTATCTTTGGGTACTGTCCTGTACAGAGTTCTGTCTGAGCCCTGACCTTCTTCCACTTCCCTGACAGAGGCCTTTTCTTCCTCCCCAGGATTGGCTCATTACTAGCAGACCGAGGATGGATCTTCGTCTCAGTAAAAGGGATGGAGAATTCATGGCCTCTCCATGATTCTCTGTTCACACCCTGGGAAGAGACCAAGGAATTTCTTTTACTAAAGCACTCAAGACCGGATGTTAGGAGCCTGTCACTGCCCTCCTCCCCCCCCCCCCCCCCACCCCAAACACCCTTTATAAAAAATAAACAGAGAAACTGTTGGTCACCAGATTTTGACTAATCATAATTAGTCTTCCAGACACTCCTAATATAAATCAAATCTCTGTCCAGTTTGAAGCACAACGGGCCTGAGCCATCTTCAAACCCATAATAAGCCTGTACAATGAGATGCACACCAAGGCATGCAGTAAGGATACAAGACAGTTTACTAGCATCCTAGTGTGGCTCCTAGGGAGTGTTCTTTTATGTGTTCCCCTCAGAAACCAAGACAGCTCCACTTCAAGTATCTCTGCCCAGAAGAATCAGGGGACCGTGAGCTCAAGTCCTCTGGATCCAGGGAAGACAGAGTAAGAGCTGTAAGGGACAGAGTAAAAGCTTTAAGTTTCCTCATGGATCAGTTTCCTTTCAAATGAAGTGGGGATAACCTGGAAAATTTCCCTGCTCCAAGGCGAGACATCCCTCCCCTGTGTTTTCTCAAGGCTAGGGAGAAGAGCTAACCACCACCACCAAGCTGTGCCACTCACCTTGCTGTGCTTACTCGCCCCGTATCTCCCATTGAGGTTGGCCAAGTGGCAGCTCTTGTACCACCACACACCATGGTGTGTCACAGCACAGTTGCTGAGAGCCACATCACTGCCTCTGTCCCACGCTGTGAACTTCCAGCCATGGGTAGGTCATTGCATCCCCTACCGGGAGGGACAAAAGACATGAATAGGAGTAAGAAACTATGGTTGTGTATGCACCCTTCAGGCAGAAGACAGCAGGCCTGCCAGGGGAAAAGCAACAGCACAGGATGGAGCTGGACAATAATTGCTACAGGGTTGCTACTAGAGGGCATGTCCAAGGGCTGGGTCTTCCCAATCTAAACCTTAAGGCAAGAGAACATTACAGGGTAAGTGGAAGACTATGGACAGAATGGCAATAGTAAGGCAGAAGCCAGCACCAGGATAGCTACTGCTGTTGAGCAAACTCCTATCCTGAACAAAAGCCACTTTCTTGTCACTTCTCAGCTGAGGAGCCCCAGAAGCTGCTCCCCCATCAGCACAGGTTACCTCCTGGAAATGCTTCCCAGTCTGCCTTTTCAGCTGGTGTTTCACTAGGTTAAAGCCCTCTCTTCCCCATGAAAAAAGCAACTCTTGCTCCTGTCTTCAGCAGGAGATGGGCCTGCAGGTGCACTCTCCTCAAATCTTCCTAGGAAGTACAGAAGTTTCTCCTCAGTGGACAATATCTGATCTAACCTGACCTAATGAGCTCCCATGGTACTGACAAAACAAATACGCAGGTCCCAGCATCTGCCTCCCTGTGCTAAGCAGAGACAGCTCAAGGCACTCCTCACCAGCATGGCCTCTGTAGCTCCCCACAGACAGCCTGCATCTGTCCCTGCTCAAGGCAACCTGGAGGAAGTCACAGGCAGCATAGGCAAACTCAGCTGTCTGCAAACCCACCCGGAGCTCATAGCGGATGTAGCTGCTGCTTGTGAGATTGTGCAGCTTGTCAAGACCCAGAAAAAAAAGAATTACTCTTAAAAGGGAGAAGGTTGTTCACTTTTGCAGTCCTAGAGTCTCACTCTGTGGCCATTTTGGTTAAACTGACTATTTCCTGTCTCCCTCCTTCCCTGCTTGATGCTGTCATGACATTTTGCCAAGTTCATGCTGTCTTATCTCATTTTCTGGCAAGAGACAGCAGTATCAGAAAAAATAAACAGCCTAAACTAGCACAAGACTGGCTGCAGTGCAACATTATTTTTCCCAGAACATTTAAAGACTCTCGCTCCAAAGACCCTGACCTACTGAGTGCTGGATTCTCTGATCCACACAGAGGTCACTAACAGAACAAGACAGACAAAAAATGACAGAGTACACCAAGTTCTGTGTAGTATCCTGGTTTTTGCTTTTTCACAAATGCAATTTCTTTATTTCCTCTCTGATAGGAACACACAAGCCTGAAATAAACCTTTCCAGAGTTTGGCTTGCTCTGAGGCTGCTCCAAAGCTGCCAATGGAAATACTTTGTGAGCCTTTAGAGATCCCTGAGCATTTCATCGGCGTTTTTACGGAAGACACAATAGCTGACAGTTCAAAGACTGCAGGCTCAGGGAGTTGGATATTTCAGCATTTAGGTGCTTCTGCAAAGCTAATCTTCAGCTCTTCACTGCTCACCCCCATGCACTGTACCAAGTCAGAATTCCCCAGCAGGATCTCCAAAGACTTCCACGTAATTTTTCCCACGTTTGTAGAAATCCAGCTCACCAGCCTCAGCCTCTGAAACACCTGCAGAGCAAGGATTGCTGAGTGAGAGTTCAGGACAGGCTGAGAGACAGGGAGGATTCAAACACAGAAGAAAAAGTGAAGCCCTGAGGAACAGGCAGCCATGCTGCTGGCACACGGCACCTGAGCAGGGCACAAACAGGAATCCATTTCCATTTTCTGACTGCACATAAGCACCCGGTGTGAATACTAGTGCAAATTTTACAGTTTAATTTCCAAAAATGCCTGTGGACAGCACAAATCTGAGCATGATCTAAACACCAAACAGACACTAAACAGGCTTAGTGAGACATTTGGGTTTCTAAACTTCACCAAAATCAAAGGCACTTGGACAGTAACATACACAATTTATTTCAGTGGAGAAAAGAGAAAATGACTCACCACTAAAAATGAAAGGCAAAAAGGGAATAAAGATGGTTTTATTTGGTTGTTTAGAGAGACAGCTATCAGAGAACCTCATTTACTCTGTGTTCCTACACATTCCCCACTACAAAGTATCTGTGCTTCTGCCACTGAACAACTACTGTGTGGTCAGGGTTGAGGTGCACACTCACTACATTAGCATTTAAAATATTAACAAGCATCAGCTGAACTGTGTTAACTGTCCATATATATAGACTAGATACATATAGACTCTTAGAATTGTTTTGGTTGGAAGAGATCTCCAAGATCATCACATCCAGCTGTTAAGCCAGCACTGCCAGGGCACCACTACACTATGTCCCTCAGCACCACATCTACATGGCTTCCAGGGATGAGGACTCTACCAGTTCCCTTGGCAGCCTGGGACAGGCCTTGACAACCCCTTCGGGAAAGAAATTCTTCCTCATGTCCAACATAAGCCTCCCCTGACACAATTTGAGGCCATTTCCTCTTGTCCTATCACTTGTTCCTTCAGAGAAGAGATTGAACCCCACCTGGCTCCAACTTGCTTTCAGGGAATTGTTGAGAAAGTCTCCCCTGAGCCTTCCTTTCTCCAGGGTAAACAAGCCCTGCTTCCTCAGCCACTCCTTGTAAGACTTGTGCTCTACAGCCCAGCCTCGTTGCTCTTACCTGGACTTCATACACTAGACTAGATAGAAGGAAGAAATTTTTTACACTGAGGGTGGTGAAACACCATCCCAGGTTGCCCAGAGAGGTGGTAGATGCCCCATATCCCTTGAAATATTCCATGTCAGGTTGGACAGGGCTCTGAGCAACCTGCTCTATTTGCAGATGTCCCTGCTCACTGCAGGGGGGTTGGATTAGATGACCTTTAAAAGGTCCCTTCCAGCCCAAACCATTCCATTAGTCTATATGACGTTAGTACTGTGGTCAAGATGAGATAATACAGCTTACCTACCTCCTTATGAAAGGCAGTTAAGCCAAGCTGTACAACGTCACCTTACCACAGGGTAGAATCCACCCTCGTAGAGAACTCCTGTGGCTCCACTGGCAAAAGGTGACACCTTAAGCTGTCATAACTCTGTCACTGCCCTCAATCAGCAATAATATAAGCCTGTGTGACATTCATGACCAAACAATGAAAAAGTCTTCGAGCCATTCAGCCTCTCACAGCATTCCTACTGACAGCCTGAAGCCGTACATCAGCATCCACCACCCTCCCTAAAACACACCACTCCATCAAGGCAGGAGAATCACAGAATGTAAGGGGTTGGAAGGGACCTCAGAGATCATCTAGTCCAGCCCCCCTGCCAGAGCAGGATCAGCTACAATAGATCGCACAGGAACGTGTCCAGGCAAGTTTTGAATGTCTCCAGAGAAGGAGACTCCGCAAACCTCCTGGGGAGCCTGTCCCAGTGCTCTGCCATCCTCACCATGAAGAAGTTTTTTCTAATATTTTTATGGAACCTCCTATGTTCCAACTTGTACCCATTGCCCCTTGTCCTGTTATTGGACTTCACTGAAAAGAGCCTGGCTCCATCCTCCTGACACTTCTCCTTGACATATTTATAGACATTTATGAGGTCACCCCTCAGCCTCCTGGCGGGAGCTGGAGCACAGGAGTGCAGCAAAGCAAAAGGAGCCTCAGCTAAGACCCATAGCAGGTCCCCATGTCTACATTCAGAAAAAAAAAAAAAAAGAGCCCGCAGCTGAGCAGAGTCACTCACTCTCCACCCGCCCCCGGCCACGTCCCAGCACACTGCCTGGCCCTGCTGCCACCCCCGGCCAGCTGAACGGTGCAGACGCCGCTGGGGGCG